TTACCCGGGTCACTTTTTTTCCCCTTCTTGAAAATAGGGACCACATTAGCTATTCTCCAGTCCAACGGTACCACCCCTGAGTTTACAGATTCATTAAAAATTATCGCCAAGGGGCTCGCAATTTCTCGCGCCAGTTCCTTCAATATTCTAGGATGAAGATCATCCGGTCCGCCCGATTTAGTCCCGTTTAGCTGGTCAAGTTTGGCTTCCACCTCTGATACTGTAATGTCAATCCCCCCTCCTTTATTCCCCTCTGTCCTACTCCCTCTATTCCTAAACCCTTCATTAGCCTTATTAAAGACCGATGCAAAATATTCATTTAGATATTGTGCCATGCCTAGATTATTCTTAATTTCCACTCCATCTACATTCTTCAGCAGTCCCACTTCCTCTTTCTTTGTTTTCTTCCTATTTATATGGCTATAAAACCTCTTAGTATTGGATTTAATTCCCCTCGCGAGGTCCAACTCTACACGGCTTTTGGCCTTTCTCACCGCATCCCTACATGCTCTAACCTCAATAAGGTAGGTTTCCTTGCTGATCCCTCCCTTCTTCCATTCTCTGTACGCTTTCTGTTTTTTCTTAATCGCCCCTTTGAGACCACCGCTCATCCAGCTAGGTCTAAATCTCCTGCCCACTAACCGTTTTCCCTTCCTCGGGATACAGGCCTCGGACAGCTCGTGCAACTTCAGCTTGAAATAATCCCAGGCGTCATCTGCCTTTAGATCCCTAAGTATGTTAGCCCAATCCACTTCCCTAAGTAGTTGCCTTAATTTATTAAAGTTGGCCTTTTTGAAATTGTAAACCTTAGTCACAGTATTATTTCTGTTAATCCTTCCATTTAGTTTAAACCGAATTAGCTCATGGTCACTCGAGCCAAGGTTGTCCCCTACAACCATTTCCTCAACGAGGTCCTCACTACTCACCAGCACTAAATCTAAAATGGCATCCCCCCTCGTCGGTTCAGTTACTACTTGATGAAGGAATTCATCTGCTAGCACGTCTAGGAACATCTGAGCCCTATTATTGTTACTAGCATTTGTTCCCCAATCTATATCTGGGAAGTTAAAGTCCCCCATGATGACACAGTTCTTATCAGTTTTTACTTCCCTAAAAACATTAAGTAGTTCTCTGTCCGCATCCAGGCTAGATCCCTGCGGTCTATAGCACACCCCAAGCACTATCTCGGGGGAGGCTCTAGTAGTTCTTTTACCCAGTGTAATTATTGCCCATACAGACTCCGTCTTATCCATTCCATCAGTTATTATCTCTTTACATTTTAGCTCATTATTGACATATAACGCCACTCCCCCACCTTTACCTTTTTTCCGGTCATTCCTAAACAGCACATACCCTTCCATACCTGTACTCCAGTCATGGTTACTGTTCCACCACGTTTCGGTTATTCCTACGATATCAGGCTTCATTTCTTGGACCAGGAGCTCCAATTCCTCCATTTTGTTACCTAGGCTTCTCGTATTGGTGTATAAACATCTTACCGTATGCTGTCTATCCTTTCTCCCATTAGTTGTGTAATTTGGTACGGACCCCATGCCGTTCCTCCGCCCCCTCTTTCTTATGTCCAATTCCCTACCCCTACCTATGTCTGTGCTTATCTCCTCACACTCCTTTTCAGAGTTGGAATCTGGCGTGGAGATTAACTGAACATCTCCCAACCGTCTCCCCCAAGTTTCTAGTTTAAAGCTCTTTTGATGAGATGAGCCAGCCTCCCTCCCAGAAGTCTATTTCCTTCCCTACTCAGGTGAAGTCCATCCCGCGAGAACAGCTGTCTGTCCCCGAAAGCCTCCCAGTGGCCATACATCCCAAAGCCCTCCTTATAGCACCACTCCCTTAGCCAGCTATTTATCCTCACAATTCTGTCAGCCCTTTGCTGTCCTTCTCTAGGAACAGGCAGAATCCCACTGAAGATAATCTGAGCCTCAACTTCCTTAAGCGTCTTCCCCAACCTGGCATAATCTCCCTTAATTCTCTCTAGCGAGAACCTAGCTGTGTCGTTTGTTCCTACGTGAAGGATGATCAAGGGGTTCTTACCCGCTCCTTTTAGGATCCTTTTCAACCGCAGGTCCACATCCCTTATCTTAGCGCCCGGCAGACAGCACACCCTTCTGTTTTCAGGGTCCGCTCTGGTCACAGGCCTGTCCAACCTCCTCAGCAAGGAGTCTCCAATCACATAAACCTGCCTTTGCCTGGTGACAGTGCGATCTACAAATCTATCCCCTGTTCCCTCTAGTCGTAACTCCTGTGTCTCTCTATTTTCCCTCATAGTACCCCTAGTGCCATCCTCTATCCTACTGGGGCCCGGTATTGATGCTGTCTCCATCAACTCCTGCCCTCTCTCTATCGGACTAGCAGCTCTTCTCTTCTTCCTCTGCCTCCCACCATCAGTTACCACCTGCTGCCTCCCCTCCTCGTTATCCAAACACTCAAACCTGTTCCTGAGTTCTATTTCCCCCTCACTAGCCCTCCTTTTCCTTGGCCTGCTCCTCACAGTCACATGATTCCACTGATCTTGATCTTGATCTGCCCCTGATATTCCCCCCTCACAGACCATAGCCTGTGCTTCCACCTGCACCCCTGAGCATTCCCCTTCTGCCACACCCAGCTTCTGCTCCATTAGCTGCTCGAATCCCCTTCTGAACTCTACCAGAGTATCTACCTGCATCTGGAGCCCTCTAATCTTTTCCTCTAGCAGGTCTATTAGGCAACATTTCATGCACACATACCTTTGTTCAGGCTCCCCAGGGAGGACCATGTACATACCACAGCTGCAACATGCAATCGTCTGCATTGTGTCCCCTGCTGCGTGGCTCATGGCTGCTGTGGTCTCTGCCTGCTGCTCCTGGGGACACAGAGCACACCGTACGCCGCACCCTCCTGCTTCCCCTTCCACCTCCCCCTGTAAACTCCCACTTAAACTCCCCTGTTAGCAGCCCTGGGTGCCGGCTCCTGGGTGCCGCTCCTCGCAGCTGTGCCGCTGCTCGGCTGGGAGGCCTCTTTTATAGGCCCCCTAATCAGCCAAGCTCCGCCCCCTAATCAGGGCTCCGGGCTCAGCAGCCCTCCCAGCACACTGCCCCTACAGGCCTCTTGTCATAACTATAAAGGGAAGGGTAACAGTTCTCTGTGTACAGAGACTCCAAATCCTTTTACCTGTAAAGGGTTAAGAGGCTCGGGTAACCTGGCTGACACCTGACCCGAAGGACCAATAAGGGGGCAAGATACTTTCAAATCTTGGGGGGGGAAAGGCTTGTGTGTGTGCTCTTTGTTTTAAGGGGTGGTTCGCTCTTGGGACTGAGAGGGACCAGACATCAATCCAGGTTCTCCCCATCTTTCTAAACAAGTCTCTCCTATTTCAAACTAGTAAGTAAAAGGACAGGCAAGGCGTCTTAGATTTACTTTGTTTTCTCAACTTGTAAATGTACCTTTTTACCAGAGTGTGTATCTTTGTTTGCTGTACTTTGAACCTAAGACAGAGGGGGGTCCTCTGAGCTCTTTAAGTTTGATTACCCTGTAAAGTATGTTCCATACTGATTTTACAGAGATGATTTTTACCTTTTTCTTTAATTAAAAGCCTTCTTTTTTAAGAACCAGATTGATTTCTCCTTGTTTTAAGATCCAAGGGGGGTTGGATCTGCATTCACCAGGAGTTGGTGAAAGGAGGGTGGGAGGAAGGAGGGGGGATGGTTAATTTCTCCTTGTTTTAAGATCCAAGGGGGTTTGGATCTGTGTTCACCAGGGAATTGGTGAAAGGTTTCTCAAGGCTTCCCAGGGAGGGAATTCTTGTGATGGTGGCAGCGGACCAAAGCTAAGCTGGTAGATAAGCTTAGAAGTTTTTATGCAGGCCCCTACATTTGTACCCTAAGGTTCAAAGTGGGGATACAGCCTTAACACCTCTACACACACAAGCACTACAAAGACAGACGCAAGTACAGGTACCTTCTCCTCCAATGAGACTCACTCCCACTTAAACTCCCCTGTTAGCAGCCCTGGGTGCCGGCTCCTGGGTGCCGCTCCTCGCAGCTGTGCTGCTGCTCGGCTGGGAGGCCTCTTTTATAGGCCCCCTAATCAGCCAAGCTCCGC